TGTGCTGATCTTTTACTGTAAACTTTAAGAGAGATTAGGAGTATGAAATGGTTGCAAAGATCCTTATCCAAAGAAAACACTATGTCCTGCCCTTAACTTGATGAATCATTTTACTCTTGGACTCCAGGAGGTTGTGGATGACTCTACATCCTATAGGTCAGCTGTGTCTTTCTTGGGAGCGGTGCAGTGTCTGCGCAGGTTCCTCTGAATCATAAACAGAAGTTATCACTGCTTCCGATCCAGGCGGTAGATTGTGGGTCAGGGAAGATGTGGAACTCACATAGTGGGGTTTCCTCTCTTCCAGAGCAGCAAAATCATTGAAAGAGTGAAGGCTGAAGAAATAAAATTGGCATTGCTGCCCAAAGAAGCCTCACAGTTCAGGCCCAGGGGGCTGACCTATTCTGGCTGCCTACTACATACAAACTTGTCTTTGGGAACTGTACCTACTGTGGTTTCTGTTATGTTACCTCCCCATCCTTTCTTGATGCACTCGGTTTATGATATCTGGATGCTCTTTTTCGGCTGGTGCTACCCATGGAACAAGTGGAACTTGGGGATTGATGTGGTTTTATATCATCTTTATTCTGCGGGATCCTCTTGCCTTGTGTCATTAGGCTAGTTCCTGATGTAAGCAGATGTGCTCCTTGAGGACAATGGTTCTCCTTAGTCTTACGCAGGCTGAGAATGCCTGAGAACAGTGTGTTCATTAGCTTCTGGCTTGCTTCATCTTTTATTCACAGAGAAATGTGGGTGCAAAATGGACATAAAGCAAAGCCATTAATATATTTATTTGTTTTATTCTATATCCAAAACTTCACTCTGTGTGCTGTACTATGCAATTACAGGATCATAGAAACACTATTTTGAAGGGATCTCTGGATACAGTAGGTTACTTCTCTGATATTTCTCCAAACGATTCAGTGTCTTAACTGACAGAGATCATAGACCAGTTAGTTTTTTTGATGTGGACTTAGCTTCCTTGACCACTCCTGTTATATGCTGGTAATATGAAAAAGTATTCAGCCCCAGTGTATTTACAACCTAGTGTAAACACAGCATGACAAACTGGAAGGCTGGCAAAGGTCCAATAAGTAACTAGGAAATAAAAGACATAGTGGAAAATAAAAAGATGTGTCAATCCTTCACAAGCGAGTTCCTTACAGAGGAACTTCTGTGTTGCATTCTTCATAGAGAAGCCTGAAGAGTTGTCTCAGAATGAAGTGTCAGCTGAAGTGACTTAGAATAAATCAGGTTTTCCAGTAGGATCAGATAGTGAGGGCCAGATGTTACTTACTCAAGGGTACTAAAAGAACTCAAGTACAAAATTGCTGAGCTATTAACTGTGTTGCATTATGCACTTCACAACTGACTTTAGAACTAAAATAACACATGACAGTTGGGAACCTCATCGCTCTTTTTTTTTTTTTTTTTTTTTTTTTTTAAATAGAGCCTAAGGAAAGGGGAACCACTGACAAGTAATTGTGACCTCGACACGCTGATGCCACCAAGCTCATGAAGTTTAACCATGCTAAGTGCAAGGTCCTACACCTGGGTAGGAGCAATCCCAGGCACAGCTACAGGTTGGGCAGAGAAGAGATTCAGAGCAGCCCTGCAGAGAAGAACTTGGGGGTGCTGGTTGATGAGAAAATGAACATGAGCCGGCTTCAGTGTGCACTTGCAGCCCAGAACGCCAACCGTATCCTGGGCTGCATCAATAGGAGTGTGACCAGCAAGTTGAAGGAGGTGATCCTGCCCCTCTGCTCTGCTCTCGTGAGACCTCACCTGGAGTATTGTGTGCAGTTCTGGTGTCCTCAACATAAAAAGGACATGGAATTGTTGGAACAAGTCCAGAGGAGGGCCACGAGGATGATCAGGGGACGGGAGCATGTCCCAGATGAAGATAGGCTGAGAAAGTTGGGGCTGTTCAGCCTGGAGAAGGCTGCGTGGAGACCTCATAGCAGCCTTCCAGTGTCTGAAGGGGACCTATAGGGATGCTGGGGAGGGACTCTTCATTAGGGACTATAGTGATAGAACAAGGGGTAATGGGTTAAAACTTAAACAGGGGAAGTTCAGATTGGATATAAGGAGGAAATTCTTTACTGTGAGGGTGGTGAGGCACTGGAATAGGTTGCCCAGCAAAGTTGTGAATGCTCCATCCCTGGCAGTGTTCAAGGCCAGGTTGGACGAACCCTTGTTTGAGATGGTTTAGTGTGAGGTGTCCCCGGCCCATGGCATGGGGGTAGGATCCAGATGATCTTAAGATCCTTTCCGACCCTAACTATTCTATGATTCTATTCTATGATTCTATGATTTTTTTCAGTAAGCCTGGTAGGTGGAAGAGCACATGAATAGGCAGGTGGCAAGTATGACAAAATGAAGAACAACTGACCGAGGGTTTTAGAGGTCATTGGATAAGCTGATGAGCATGTGGCAAAAAGTGATCCAGGTGAACGGGATACAGTATTCTCTGTATGTTAGTGCATCAGTTCTGAAAAACATGTTGGATGCTGTGGCTCACCAAAGGCTTTTAAAAAAACCCCAAAGAATAATGATGTATGGTGGGGAAAAAAAAAAATCCTTAATGAATTAACTGAAAGAAAGGCAAGACACAAAATTAGGAATAAATAATAAATGGAAGGGAGGTTTCTAGTGATGTCCCAGAAAGTCGCTGTCCCATTTTGTCATATGTTTCATGTTAACAGGGGCATGCAGTGAAGAAACAAAATTCCTAAAACCACACTTATTTAAAATAGTCAGAGCTAGGTTATATGTGGCATGGGGGTAGGATCTAGATGATCTTAAGGTCCTTTCCAACCCTAAATATTCTATGATTCTATGGTGGTTGGTGATTGGGGGGATCAAATTGTGGATCAAATGCAAAGTCAAAATATACAAAATAATGCATGCCCAGGAAAAAAAAAAAAATCGAATACGTACTTATGTACAAAAATGGCAAGTAAATTAGTTGTTACTCATCAGACGTAAGATCTTAAGAGTCATTGTGGGTAATCCCCTTAAAACATCTGTGAAGTGCTCAAGAGTGTTCAAATGGCAAAGAGCATGCGAGGGAAAAAACAACTGAAGACTTTAAAATCATGGTGAGCATGAAGAAGAGAATAAAAGTAGTTATTAGTATTCCTTACTGAAGAGTCGTATTTATATCACCTTGCTCAAATGTCAGATTGAAGGGCTGTTACTCACTCTTTAATTTTTCTCTCCAAATACAAGAAATAGTTAAGCCAGATAAACTTATCTGGTGCCACTTATAAAATCAACCAACCAAAAATATTTCAGCACAACTCAACCATGGAATTCCTTGCACACATTTTAGGTAACAAACCCTATCAATTTATAGATTGAGGAATTTGACTGGTAACACCATATAGAAAAAATCACCCAAGTGTTTTAAAAATGATGAGCACTTCTACAACAATAAAGAACATGTGTCCAGTAAAATTATCAGGACTCTGAGACCACTGGGCAAAGTGTCTTGCATTTAAGACAGTAAATTCATTTAGCTTCCAAAACTGCATAGGAACATGTGGGTCAGCAAGGGGGCAAGCAGCAGTTGCAGGCTCTGCCCTGCCTCCAGGTTTAGTGGAACAGGCAAGCTTGCTCCAGTGCCTGGGCATGTGCCCAAGCTGTTTAATTTAATAGGAGAGCCTGGGAAGCTTTTTCCAGCCAGAAGCTGGAAAGTTTCCTTCTGCTCTCCCTGTCTTTCTCTTTGCGGGAGACAGCTTCCTGCACTGGCAGGCTTCTGGAGCTGAGTGCCCTACAGTGAGTTCTCAGCGCAGGAGACACATGCAGTTTGGATCAAAACTGAATTCTGCCCATATGCTTTTTAATTACTAAGTTTTTAAAAAATAATGAACTATTGGGATATCCATTTTCTAAAACTAATTGGAAAAAAAAGCAGCATACTCTTCAAAGCAGTCAGGAAATTTATCAGAGAACCTTCCAGGCAGTTGTGTCAGTATCAGTTGATCGCACGGCATTTTTTAATGCTAAGCTATTAATATACAGCATAACCTGTTAAACAATATGTATCAATGCATGTTGCAAATATACGAGAGACACAATCATTTTTATTAAAGGTTTACAATGCAGATACAGAAGTTGTCTAGTAATATGCTACTTACTGCGAAGCACTAACAATGACCAAGTCTTCTGGAAAAAACCAAGACATTTTATTTATTTTTGCTAATGCTCTGCTAATGAAATTTGCATTCTCATATCCTTAGACTATCTAGGCTACAACAATATTACTACTGCTAAAAATATTCAGTCAGGTCGCTCAATTAATTACTGGACCATTGAAACTGAAAATAATAATATTAGGCTGCCTGTTGGCGAGTCATAGCATCTTGTCTGTGAGCTTCATTCCATCCTAAGTACAGAAGAAAATAACAGTTTCAATTTATTACAAAAATCCTGTGAAAGCTGATGAACTTTTGACTAGTCATGAGGCTATGATTTTAATGAAACGTATTTCTGATCTATCGATTAAGACTTTTCAAATATAATTCAGTGTAATTCGGATCCGTGAGGTGGTTGTATGTGAAACCATCAGATTGTAATGACAATGTATGATGTTAATCCATTTGCATTTCTTGCATATTCTGTGTTCTTGTTATCTAAATAATACTCCTGTGGTGTACAAAACAGTATGTCTAATTCTCCCTGGTGCCTGTCCTTCTGCCATTTAAAAATTAGATGCAGAACCTCTTACAGTGTTGGCAACTCTGGTTTAACTTATGAGGAGATCCTGCTAAACTAATGAAAAACTAAATATTAAATCCCTATGACAGCACAGTGGAACTTTCAATAGAAAGGGAAGGGTTGGAGGAGTAAGGCACTTCTGAACTAAATACTAAATCCCTATGACAGCACAGTGGAACTTTCAATAGAAAAGGAAGGGTTGGAGGAATAAGGCACTTTTGCTATATCTATTTCATATTCTGCTGATATACAAGCCTACATATTTAGCTGCAACACGGTGATGAAACTCAAATATTACTTTTATTTACAACTTGCAAGGATTTAGCCTTCAATCTTTATTACACAGTCCATAGCAGAAACAAACAAGTTCACATTAAAAGCATACTGTTACATAGATTTTAACTATGAAAATAAGAAACACATTTTGGCTGAAGAAATAAAAGACAAAAAAACCCTGTTCCATCGAGTTATATTTTAGAATACACTTAAATTCACCAAAGTACATTTCCCCCTGATTAACTACTGATGATTTATTTACAAAGCAAGTAACAAATAGTGGCTAGAAAATACATTTCACCACAAATTATCTAAATGGATATTTCTATTTTTCGTCCTAGAAAACAGCTAAGGTGGTATTTACTTCATTACAATGTTTCTTTCATAAATCTTAATGTGTTTCTGCAGCTAATACAATATGGAGATGCAGACTGTATTACATTAGTTAGAAAAACAGATTATGGGTTTGGTTAAGAAAAAACTCAGTGCCTAGCAAAAGGTAACTTAAAAAAAACAAACACACCCAAACCCCACAAAAGGTCTAATGCATTAACTACTCCAAGTACTTCACATAGGGACATACAAATTCAGAATCTTGCTCACAAGGCAGCTGAAATTTGAGAAACTATTTGAAAGAAGTAGTCATCAGCCTGTGGTAGCTCTGACAGGCTTATAGCTATATTTCTATTCAGGAATTTGTTAATAGAGTCTATGCTGTTTTGGGAATCATTTGACAGTCAACAACAACATGGAATAACTTCATATCTCTTTTAGAAGAAATGATAGCTCATTGTTTTGATTTTAAAGTTGGGTTGTGTTTTCTTAGTGTGAGAAACAGAAGCAGAAGGTGAAGCTTGGAGTTTTGGTTTTCTAAGTAAGCACGGAACAAAATATTTTCCCATTGAAACTGTGGAACATGCAATCCTTGTAAGAGCAGATCTCTTGAAATGCAAGTATGTTGTTATAGATGATCTTGTGAGACTTCAGCACACAAAAACCTGCACAGAAAACATCTCTACAAATAAATATTAGGAGTAAATTGAGTACCCAACAATATTACAATTTTATTTCCCCTTATTCCTCATCATTAAAAGCTCACCTTCATTTTCCAAACTACAGCTGTTTAGCCTTTGGATTTTTGTTCCCAACCTGTTTTAACACCTCTATAACTTGTCAACAGCATGTCAGATTGCTACAGGTACAGTAGCTTTGTTTTAGGCTAATGTATGTATTCCTGGAAAACATGACTTTAGAACACTGGAGACTGGCAAGCCCCCATATTTCTTGGCTCTGCTTGCTGTTAAGTTTCCTGCTTCTGTTATGCGCAATGTAGAAGTGCCGCAGAAGCAATTTTTGACATAGTGGAAAAGCAGGCACTTTCCTCTGGCACGTGTTTTAGGGAAAGCGTATCCTACACATTCCCATAGCATACGCCCCAGACACACTGTGGCACTGGTGTGCAATTGGTTTGAGAGCTATTGAGGCAGGAGACCCTGTCACGGCAGTGGAGTAGTTTCAGCTTCTTGAAGTTCCAACTGAAAGGAAAGAAATTGCAAATACAATGAACATTTACTTGATTTATTCCCACCCACAATTTTGTGTGTTTGCATGTGTGTTGTTTTGATTTTTTTTTAAGAGGAATTCAATTTTCATTTGCAGCTATTGTCCTGCCATATACAGCTAAACAGGTAGCCCAGAGAATAAGGCAAGACTATGCCTTTGTCATGAAGAAACAAAGGCAGAGGAAATGATCACAGTAAAATTTCATATCTGACCTTCAAAGTCAAAGAAACATTAACAGAACTGAAATTTGAATTAGAATTGAAATATATACCATACCAAGTCAGTTATCTTTTTAGAGGAGAACTCTTGATGCATTTTGTGAGTATTGACGGATTTTGCTCCATCCCTGTATTCTTTTTGTAGCAATAGCAGGGGAGTTAGTATTTTAGATTATACATTCTGTGTTCACATCAGCATGTTGGCCAACTTTGGATTTGCAGTTAAAGTCTAGCTTAAATTCTGTGTAAGATGGATTTATATCAGCAAACAAACCTAACAACCTCTCAGCCCTGTTTGTCCACAGTATCCATGTTACGTCCTATTTGCATACAGATACAGTAGCACTACAGATGTTTTCATCAAAAAAAACTGCTTATTGCATGGCACCTCCTGAAAGCTGGCAACCTTTTTTTATTGCCCAGCAAATATTGTCCTGCAGCACTAGAATCAGTTAAAAACAGAATGGAGAACACTGCAAATAAAGGATTTACAGTACGTAACTGAATCAGGTGAAGCCTGATAGAGACTAGAGAGGGAATGTGTTCCTGTAAAAACAATGGGACACGGGTAAGGATTTTGGAGCAGGGAGAAGGAAAATGCATTTTCTAACTGGATTGCTTTTCAAGCACAGTCAGGAGACTGAAGACTGTTAGGACTTCTGATTGGGAGATATATTTCTCCAAGGCCACAACGTAACTGAAACGCTTGTTCAATTTAACATGCTATATTTAGAGATTTTCTTTATTCTGTATTGGAAATATATCTCCTCAGCTCCTTTTGTCCTTTTGCCCTGATCCTAAATGTGAATGTCACTGTCTTTTGGATAAGTCTAAACCCAGGAATGAATTTTGAAGTCCATATTCACCTATCCTTATGGATTAGATAAAAAAGCATTTCTTTTGAATTTTTTTACCAATTAGCTTTTTCTGATTTGTTAAGAAAAATATTGAAATGTTTTGTTTCTGGTTTATTCTAATGCACAGTTTAAGAAATGCCCAAAACACAGGCAACCTTAGAAGTCATTTAGTTAGTTCTGGTCCTCAGAGAATCGTTTATTGTTGTTACCTTTCATGAAATAGTCTGATGAACACATTCTGTTTTCTCTGCTACCTAGAATATTCACAAAGGGCCCATCTCAGTGCAAATCAACTACAAAAGAAAGCCCAGTTTTAAGGATCTGTTGAAATTAGACATGCTTTTCACAGATGTCATTATCTTGCCAGAAATGGCCTTTATGAGAAATCAATACTTTATAATTATTTTATCAAAATACAGCATTATTGACAAAGGAGATATGTCTGTTTTGTCAAAAATACACAGAAAGGCCATTCTCTGTTCATACAGATAGATGTGAATCTGCCAAGGTTTGGAGTGACAGAATCTGCCCAACTTTATCATGATTCTGCACAGGACTTGCCAGCATTCCCTTTGTTTGCCATCTGTCATATAGCACTGGGAAAATCAAAATGTAAGAAAGTACTTTCCATTTATTTAATCAAAGTGAAAGTAACTTCCATTTTTTCCTTGTTTCAACTAGTTTTTCCTTAATATAATTTTTATTTCTACGCATAGCTGCCAGTTGAAGACATAAGGGCAAAACTTTCACAGCTGAGCACAAATGGAACCACAGAATGGTTGGAGTTTGAAGGCATCTTAAAGATCATCTAGTCCCAACCTCCTGGGCAATCTGGTCCAGGGCTACCAACATGTTCCGGGACTTCTGGTTAATGAACATATCTGAGGCCTCATTTTCAGAATATATGGAGGATTTGCAACTTCCATTATGGTATTCAGACACATCAGTGGTTAAGGAGAAAGCATGGGAAGCTAACATTACAAAAAAAATAGTAACATAGGATGACTAATTAGTCCTGGAAATGTGCCTATACATAATTTGCTTAGTTGCTTGGATACATTAAGGTGAGGATGCTATAAAAACTTAAATGGGACAGAAAAAAATTATCTCAGTGGAACAAATTGAATTTCTCAGATTTCCGTAATTATTAATAATTCATTTACCTAAGTATTTAGGATTATTTTTTTAATAACATATAGATATCAGTAAAAATAAGAGGTATTTGGAAAACATTTTTCAGGGAAAAAACCTATCAATTTAAAAAAAAATCAACCTTTTTTTTTCTCAGAGAAATTAATACAGAGTGTCTCTGTATATCTGAAGTAAAAGCTGTTTCAGAGTAGGTTTTTGTTACACCTTGCTGGCAAGTTCGTTGTTATGAATCAGGTTAATGTCAATGACATCAAAAGAACCTCAGCCGTTTGCAAAAGCTAGTATCTGTTTTTTTATTGCCATTCCCAACTAACATTGGGTCACACAGAGATAAGCTCAAAGTAAGTGTCTGCTTTGCCAAACAATTTTTCCAGGATTCCATCACTTCTAACTCTCGTTCTAACTCTTCAGGCAAATGCACTTGTAAGATTACATATGACTATCCAAAAGTTAAAGTGAACCATGCCTTTAAGCTCACTTTGGAACAAATGTAACCTATGCATTTTACTGCAAGAGCTAGTTGAATGAAACACAGGATGCATTCCCCTGCAGATGTGAAACATCTGTCTTGCAGCTCTTCCAGTTTTTGCATGCCTGATTAGCCACTGTCTTTTCTCCCTCAGAACTGTGCTGCTCCACTGAACACTTACAATTTCTATAAATGCTCATGCCATCAGTGTTACAGATCAGAAGCTATTCTGTGCAGGTGAAAGAATCTGCATTTCTGGAGGAGTTTTGAACTTGTTCAGCTCTTCCACTTTTTGTATATGTGGAGAAAACAATAATCAAGCTCTTAATCTAAATCTTTGGTAATGTCAAAGAACCATAGAGTAGGCCAAAGGTACATGATAAGGCAAATATTTATGATGTTTTCTGTTACTTTTGCACTGATAGAAAACAGAGTTATTCCTTCCACAAGTGAATGCTTATTTTTAAGTGCTGTAAGAGTGTGAGGCCTTAAGCTGTTCAGTGATTGAGTGCTTGCAGTTCTCATTAACTTTAGGAGTCAAGAATTCTCACTTGGCAAAAAAGCAAGTAGAACATCTGTTTCTTTGAAAATGATGTGTAGTGTGCCGAGTACTATACAGCATTGCAATTAGAGTTCACATTGAATGCTCTCCAAGGCCTTGTCCATACAAGTAAGAGCATGTCAGTGTACTAACATAGATACATTAGCTGGACTTTCTCGTACAGAAAGCGCTTACCTGTGAAAAGAATGCCCTGTCAATAGAATTTAGAAAAGCTCACTGAGCAAACTATGGCTTGCATTTTTTCTTCCTCTCCTTTTTCTGTCCTTTTTTTTTTTCTGTCAGCAGAGGATGCATTCACCCTAGGGCTTTTTTCTGTTTAAAAAATTATAATAGTAAAAAAAACAAAACCACCAGATGTTACACTTGTAAGTGTTATCCCAGAGAACACGTTTAGGGCAGATTACTCCTACAAAAGTGTCTGTCATTCTGCTAGTAGCAGACAACAAAAATGTTGTCTCCTACAGAATGTTTGCTGGGAAAAAAATCAACAAAAACATTATTTAATATTCAAGTTTGAATGTAGCTTGTTGTGAATGCATTCTACAGATGTTGTGAAGAGTGAGAAAGACTGCACCTGATAGCTGGTGTGATGTACTCCAGGGAGCACAACAGCAAGATGACTCAGGTCAGCAGTGGGAAAATATCTGCACATCTAGATTATTCTGCACATCTAGCAGAAATAAACCAGTGGCAGCAGCTGCCAAAGGAAGGACTGCAGGGATGGTGATAAGGGATGTGAAATTGCTCCCATTTATGGCCACGTCAAATTCTTTCAAATACCAGACCATGCAAAGATACCTATCTACCCATCTATGAGGACATGAGCTTCCAAGTGTTGTCTTCCCCTCAACGTGTGGGAAAATTGATGGCTAGTAGCTAGGAAGAGCTATCCAAGTAGTCCAAGCTGGGTAATAAAACAATTTCTTAAAGCTCTGCACACACCCTTTCTGTTCCAGGCATACTGGCTCTTTGCTTCAGTTTCTTTCCTTACTGCCTCAAACATCATGCCTTTCTCTGCACTCTCCCTCTCACCTCCCTTTCCCTTCAGTGTCTTCCATTTTAAATTCTGTTTATATATGTTCATCTCAATTTTTTTCACCACTATTCCCTGAATGGAAAAAACCACCAACCCAACCAACCAAGAACTCAACTATGTGACTAGGTTCCTCCGTAGTACCACAATAATGCTTACTTCACTTGCTTCATCCATCCCTCCCTCAGCTGCTGGGGGTCTGAAGATCTTTGTGGGAAGGATCATCTTCTGTGTTTAGTCAGTGCCCAGGGAAAAAGACTTAATTTCACTCAGTCTATGGACAGTACCACATTAATCTTTGCTAAGGGTAGAAGTTTAGAAGGCTTCAGTTCTCCTAAAAATAGTATGAAGTTACATAACTAAATGCAGAAAATGGGTACATATACACTGCACTGTAAAAAGTCAGAATTTTACTAGTTACAGATACAATCCTGTTGTCAGACACATGCAGAAAATTGACTCCACTAACAGTTACAAATACATTATTAACAGTTGAACCTAACAAATTTTCACTACACCTAGTAACTACTACACCTATATATATACACATACGTATACATGCCTACCTATGTCAAGTTTGGCAATTTTGCTCCACCACCAAAATGTGCCTAAGTACTGAGCAGGTGCTAACCAATTTCACAGGACACAGTTTGGCATGTATGAATTGGATGCTGGTGAACGACAGTACCAACTGCAGACGCTTAATAAGGTTTCTCCCTTTAGCCCTCCCCTTTTCTGGAACAATTACTATTTTGTCTGTTTCGAGATGGTAATGTTCTGATTTGGGCTTTTATGCAGTAGCTGAGTGGCAGGTATGCAACTGCTTTCATGAGAAGCCATTGACTTCTGCACCTCGAGGAGTCAGCTAGCTTGTAGATGATGTGGCAGCCATGAGAAACTGATGCAGGAGCAACCTAAGTGTGTTGCTGAAAGGTCATACAGCAAGGAATGAAGTAGGCTTTTTGCCATTTGTTCTTCTTTTAAATGAATTGCAGGGACAACTCAAAAGTTTTCTAGCGCTGTGATGCGCTTGAGCTGCTTTCACAAATGTTACGATTTGCTTTCATGTTTTGCTTGATGTTCACTGAGGGATAAGGACTGGAAATTCTCAAGACTAACCACAAGAACACAGATGCTGGACATGTAACAAAAGAGCTCCTTTGTAAAAGCTAAGCAATAGCCTTAATAAAAAAAACACAAGTATCTATTTCTCTTGTATCTGCTGTGCTGTAAAATCTCAAAGGCTCATACTTCTCAGAGCCTTTTTCTACATGGGAAAGGTATATGCTCAATATATCCTATATGGCAAAATGGCACAATACTCCTTAACATGTGTGTATATATTTATATTTTTATATACATCTCCCTCTCTGCCTCAAAATTCACCTTAGCCAACACAGATAATTATCTGATCCAAGAACTGAATGTAGACAAGCCTTTGCCTACTTCTTGTATGTGGTCCAAGACAAACAAGGCCACACAGGCCTTCTTTGTACATCAGTCAAAAATGTACAAGCCCAGCTTCTTCTCTTTTTTTTATTCACTGCTGCAGTGGGAGAAGAAGAAGTATCTGTTCTCCCCCACTCCTGTCTCCACCAGCAGACAAGGAGTTTGAGTAGAAAAATCTGTGATCTCCAACTGGTTTTAAAGCAGTCACCTGTTGTAAACATCCTGCAAATGGAACACCTTTTTGTATGCTTTGTATATATATGCATGCGCACTGGACCCGGTCATGCAAGGTACTTTTGAAAGCCCTCAACTTCTGAGCATCAACTAGAGGACAGAACAACTAGCACCACACAGGACTGGGGTCTTGTGTATGCATACACCGATTTCAAACATAACACTGAAGGTGTTTAGACCTTCAAATAGCTACAAATCAGTATAAACTGTAACTTCAGAATACATGTCATCTCCAAGCTGGAGGCCTGGATCCAGAGATGACATCTCCACTGCTAGTCATACCTGATGATTAGTCCTGTCCACAGTGTTGGCAGTGGATGCATGGTCACGAGTGTTTTGTCGTACTCGGGTGGAATTTTGCTGCTCAATGGTTGAGGAAGTGGGGATGCAGAACTCTCTGAAACATCTTTTGAAATTCTCATCTAGAAATGCATACAGGACTGGATTAAGGCAGCTATTTGTATACCCTAGGGCAATACAGAAGTGCCAGGAAACAGTCTGGAAAGTAGTCTCTGGGATGTTAACCAGGGCTTTAATGATGACATAAATGTGGATAGGAGTCCAGCAGACAATAAACACCGCCACCACTACAAGAACCATCCTTGTGATTCTCCGCAGGTTCCTGTCCTTCTCTTTGGATCCAGACAACATGCGAACGCTCTTCAGGCGTAAAATCATCAGCCCATAGCACACGGTAATGATGAGGACCGGCATGATGAAGGCAAAGATGAACACACAGATTTTCAGGAGGTTCTCCCAGTACCATGCAGGGTGGGAGAATGTTAGTGTACAGTCAATAGAGCCTGGAGAAAATGGAAAACAGCAGGTAAGAACAAGTGAGTCAGTTTTTCCTTTGTTTTTCTTTAAACTGTTTTTGTTATATATCATAGGCAAATATATGAAGATTTACTAAGTAAACAGATACAGTGAAGCAATCCATGACCTGTCATTGACACAAACACTGATAGGACACACTGCTAGAAAATATGTATGAAGTGTGAGTTACAAAAACAAAAGTGAAGTAGCATGTTCACTTCTGCATTTTTTTGCTTGGAATTGCATATATATTGGACAAGAAAGAGTTGAATTGTCATAAATGCTTAAACTTTGATTCATTTTCACTTTCAGTATACAACCTGGTGAAAAGAAAGATGGTTTAACCATGTATCTATTCAGAGTCTGGGCATTTCAGGGCAATGTGGAAGAGAAAGACGTGACACTTGGTAACTGCAAAATGGAAGGTCTGGATTTATGTTGAGATGCTATCAACTTCATGGAAAGTCTTTGAGTACCAGTGATCCCTACATGCTCTTTGTTCCGTATTGCATCCTGCCAGACTACATGCAATACATCTATGACTGCAAACTTCAGTGGACTATCCTGGGTAAAGCACAGGCTTCTGTACTGCAGGGCAGTGCATAACTGCTCCACAGCAGAAGGCAGGCAGGCAGAGATACTTTTCTGAACACTATAGTGACTGTGTTGGGCACCAAGACTCACACGGATCCCCAGAAGCAGCTGGAGCTCCCTGCTATATAAGACAGATCATGTTCAGTGATGTATCTGGGCAACTACAGCCAGATGCAAAATTGCTGAAGGGGTCCATTGGTACTAGTACCTGCTCTATAGAGGTTGGAGGTCAGAAGTTAATTCAATGCCTCTACAATTAAGTGAAACAATGCAGAAAGGAGTTTCAACATCAAAATACTCAATTTTGATACTCAGTACTCAAAGGAACAAAAGCCAGACTTACCATGCCTGTATTTAGTGGTTGCCATGAACATAACTGGCAGGCCAATGGCAGAAGAAAGGATCCAGTTGCAGACATTGACAATTTTGGCATTTCTGGGGGTACGGAAATCAAGGGCCTTAACTGGGTGGCATACAGCTACATAGCGATCCACACTCATGGTGCAGAGTGTAAAAATACTCGTGAACATATTATAGTAGTCTATGGATATAACAATCTTACAAAGGATGGTACCAAATGGCCATGTTCCCATCAAGTAATTCACACTCTGGAATGGCAGGGTACTTGTTGCTAGGGCATCTGCCAATGCAAGATTGAAAATATAGATATTGGTGGCAGTCTTCATTTTTGTGTACCTAGAAAAAAAAATAAATCAGCAAAGCATGTAAATGACCACAGCTAACAATGTTAAACAAATTTGAGCCCAGTACAACATCTGTAAAGAACTTCTTTCAATCAAACAAGAAGACAAGATGATATTAACCATGTTCATTGAATGCATCAATGGAACTACCACTCTGAGTGGATCCTGCAGCCCTTTGCTTCAAGTGGGAATGCTTGCTCTGCTCCACAGTACCTACTTTGTTAGAAGGGACTTCAACCTCAATTGCATGCCTTTCTTCCTAGGTCTGTGTTGCTAACAATCCCCAAACCACTTCCTGAATTTTGAATATGTCACACTTCAATCCCAGCTGAGCAGAGGGAGCTTTCTGTTTTAATTCAGAATTCCTCCTTAGTTTCATCACATATTTGTAGAGCCCTTCACTGTTTCAGATCTGTTGTGTCAGCTGAGCAGCACTTGAGATCCGCTTTTTATGAAAATGCTATACTTTTGCAGTGTTACAATGACCATACTGTTCCTGGTCATGCTGCCCTGCCACCCTCGCTGCTGCCAGGGTTGCTGGGCACTGTGGCCACCTGGCTTTCCAGGGGTTATACGGCTTGCTCATTTGATAAAGTTTCTTTCTGTTTCTGTGAAATAACCAGTACTGTGATCAAACATTTTAAAGATTTGCAAGAGGAACAGACCATCTGAAAAGATCTTTCATGCCAGGGAAGACAAAGAGTAAAATGCAGCATTTAATGTTCTGGGTTTTTTTTCTGTCTGATCTCTTCACATGAGTCAGCTGCAAAAAAAAAAGCACTGCATTGACAGGGCTGTGTAGGCACATTTGGAACTTTTTTGGCAGGGTGTGGAGAAATGCAGACTTCTTGCTGAATGGATCTAGATGGCTTCTGTGATATACATCTGAAGAACTTTGTACTGGCTTTGTTCTCTCATTTTATAGCATGTGCTTGAGGAACCACTAACAACCCTAATTTCAGTTTAGGTGTTTTATTAAAAAAGATTGTTGAGTACACCCAAGCTCTTTCTTGACTGCTACCTTGAGAAGTTATGATCTGAGCATGACACTTCAAAGCTTTAAATCAAACTTATAGTCTAAAAGTACTCTAAACCCTTTTCTTACAGAAGCACTCCATTTATCCAACACCACTGTGACATTAACTTGGGAAGAAGCAGATGCTGCATGCATTCATGTCTCTCTGCGCTGGGAATTATTTAGAAAACATGTACAGGATTGCAGTTTGGGAGAGGTACACAATAAGCTGCAGCTCTAAAAAACAGTTTGAATGGAAGAGAAAATATTTTCTCAGCAATTTGCTGGAGAATCTTGCAGAGGAGAAATGAAAACAGCAATGTTTTCATATTGACTTTACCATTACCGAGACTGAAAATGTTGTACTAAGCCCTCTTTTCACCTTGTCTCCTGTTTCTCAAAAACAATAGACCTCTACAGGTCTGACAACAGATTCAGGACTAGCTAAAACTCTGCCCAGAGAGTTAACCTGGAGGTTTGATTGCATTGTGAGCTGCTCAGGCAGCAACAACAGCGGAAGGACAGTGGCTCTCATTTCTACACAGAGAAGAAAAGGCAATGAGGATACTGTGCCCTCATCCAGACTGCTAATCCCTACTCGTCCCTTAGTTGACTGCCCTATCTTTGTGGCTGGACAAGAAAGCACCCTTAGGTATACTGCTCAGCACTGCTGCCATCACATGATTCTGGCACAGTTCTGTCTGGAGAACACATAATCAGATGATAATGCATTTTTTATCAGCAATTAAAACCATTCTTACGATTTAAAGGGAATGCTGGATATAAATTCATCAATCAATATGGAAAAGACTCTCAGGTTAGCATGCCAGAGGATAGGGAGGGAAAACTCTGAATAAATGGAATAAAGTTCCTTCACTGGGACTGGCGTGGGCCTTATCCTCCTTTAATGCTGTACAGTTTTTGGTTCTGCAATCTTGCTTTCATTGTCAGTTTAAGCATAAAAGTTCTTGGACTTATTTTATTAAATGGGCTCTATAGGCTATTAATGAAGGATTTGACTTGATGTGCTCTGTAATCTTTATATTACTAATCATGGTGTTACAAAGAAAGTAGAGCTTTTGTGGTTATAGTATTTACCTACACAATTGCCTGTTCAACAAAAGCCTACTAAAATTCACAATATTCTTTTCAGTGACTTCTATGGGATTTGGGTGTTTCTCTGTACTGGATATGCCAAGATTTTATAGATAGCTTATTTCTGAAAGGTACCTTTTGTTAAATATGTTTTTTTTACCAAGTAAGTAAATTATCAGTGTCCTCAGGATTATTTTTTTGGTACAAACAAATAAACACTGAAGCAACTCATTAAAAGTAATTTTAACAGCATGAAAAATAACAGTTCCTCTCTGTTATTATGAATGGAGCTCTTCAAAGCTTCCATCTTAGTTGCTATTATATCTTTTGTTAAGATATCCATCTACCTATTTGAACAATCAGCACAAAAATTTCCATCATCTAGGCATACATGTGTATGTAATGATATTTCTGCACTTCAGAGGGACTGGATTTTGTATGCAATTAAAGCCACAAGAAACCTGTATGATATAAAATACCAAAAATATTGTGTTTATAGCACACTTTTTAACAGATACTTCTTTCATGCATTCATTCAAGGCAATTAGAAAATCTAAAAATGAACAGATGTGTAAAAAAAGTGTCTTAGATGTAAACCTGTGAAAATCTGAATGATGGTATTTAGATTACATTGAAATTTCAGCATGTAAGCCACCAAGTATATTATATTTTGTATGACAGTAAGCAAGGCTGCAAGTGAAGGCAGAAGTTGGCTTTGGGCAACATTACTTTTATTTTTACAGCTCTAATAGATTAGAGAGACTATAATAGAGGATTACTAATAGAGCAACTAAAAGAGCAGTATTGAGCTAAATATTCACCAAAAAAATACTGCTCTTGATAAATATTCAAATTAATTATGCTCATAACACTGACACTAGTATTTGCTTTCTAACTCCTAGATGCAGGTTTTGTATCATAAAATATCTATGTTTATGAAAGCAATTTTTGTTGGTACTTAGTAGATGACAGATCAGGTTTACAACAGTAAAAATATGCTTTATTTCTGTTTAGTTCTGTAGGGAAAACTCAGTCTTGCCTTCATCTTCAACCCAGCAAAGCTTTAAAATATGCTTGAAGTTTGAAGATCTGAGCTGTAGAGGCCCTCTCAACTGGGACTGGCTTGGAATAAGATAAAGCAAAGAGAAAAATATGCAAATCCTACTCAGTCACCAAGTTCCTAGCATTCAAGGATAAATAAAGTCTTGAAATTACTTCTTCAACTGGCAGCCCATGGGCCACTTGTAGTTTGCAAACCAAAGAAAAGGTTTGCCAAACTAACCTAGAGCGACATTCAGCTCCATTGCACAAAGTGAAACGTCTTGAAAAGGAGCCACGAGCACCTTCCCTTCCACCTCACAGCCATGTGACAAGAGAGATGTGAGCACATCTTTGTGCAAGACACGTGCCACAGCTGTTTCTGGTCTACAGTCTCCAAAGATTTAGTCTCCACCTTATCACCTCCAAAACTTTTGAAGAGTCTTTTCCTCAAAGCTTCCATGGCTCAGAAGAACAAGTAACACAAAGACCATCTCTTTTCTTAAAAAAGAATAAAATTTTAGTTTGCATCACACTTTATCAAAAGCTAATAGACACAGTTGGTATACTGCCACCTGAGTCTTGTCCCTACTGCTTCTTGGACAAGCTCTTTACATCCTTGTGGATTATTGAAACATATCCTCTTCCAGACCCTTCAGCCCTTCTACACCAGATCAGTTTTATAGTTTCCTTGTACCACTAGGCTTGTGTAAAGTAGCCAGAGGTCCACGTTTAGCCCAATTAATACAGTAATACATACAATTATGAATTAATTTTAAAACTTCTCCTATGCAAATAACAACCATGAGAAGAAAAGCAGAAACAGCCTTTTGCACATAGGAAATGGGCTGGCCAATGATAGATTGGTAATAAGTACTTTCAGCAACACAAAGGCATGCAAGCTTTTGTCCCACAGAATGCTAATTTGGAGACAAAGACCGCTTCAACTGATCTGTGTTTAAGCTCAATGCAAAATGTATGAAAAACTGGCTTAATTGCAGGAGATCAATTGCAGAACCCAGTCATTCATGACAATGTTTGGCTGCTGAAGGAAACAACAGCCAGCAATTAGGTCTTGCATACAGACGACCTGATGTAACTCTTGTTGATGCTTGAGGAGATCAGGTTAGCATTTCAAATTCATGTTCTCCTTGCATAAATGACTTGTTAAACAAATGAAGAATCATTATGTGCATACATTAGATTAGCTGAGGTCTCCTTGGGTGGGAGGATATAAACATGTGAAGTATGCCTAGTTAAACCAATTTAAATGAACATCTATTTCCATAGCTTTTCTGGTGCATCTTTATACAGAACTCAAAAACAAAAGGAAAGAGGGATTTTTTTTACGTGTGTGTGTGTGTGCTTTCCTGAGACATACTTTCAGTTTTTTTTGAGCCCTTAAAGCTTTGCAAAGGTCATGTCATATCCAGGACAGGATTCTATGATTCTATACAGTCTGGAAAAACCCTCAAAAAAATTCTTCTGTTTGCCAATCCAATTAGAATGTTTGACACTGAAATGAAGTCTCAGCTAGGCCATATTCTGGAAAGTACCTTTGAGCTAAAGGGTCTCAAATGATGGACATAGCTGATGGCTATCCCATTTTTTTGTTCTTTTTCTTTCTTTGCATGGTAGTGGGTTTCTATAGAATGGAAGACCCATACCGTATCTCAGCCACAGACAAGACTTGTGCTGTGGCAGACTGTTACCTATTTAAGTTTTGAAGACATATATATTCTGGATGAGTCTAACTTACCTGTCCGGGAGCATATGATTTAATCAGCATGAAGATTTATTTTTGATCTTTCTATTCATGAGTACTTCAGAATGATTATGCCTTA